CACACACACACACATATACATATACATATACATATACATATATATGGTCTGACACTCCATTCTCTACACCACGTCAGCTGTCAAATCTTGGCTATTTTGTAATCATTTTGTTATACGACCTTTTTTAAAAAAAGTTAATGAATTATTCTACAAAAAGACAGGAATACTTGCAAGTACTTATGTTTTTAATATAATGCAGTGTGTTGATAATGGAATGCAGGACATAGTAATATGAATACAGCTGCTGAATTGTTGTAAATCAAACTAAACATTAAGGAGAGTGCAGACTCAGTATAAATAACCAGTTTGCCCTCCCATAAGCTATACTTTGACAATCAGATTTGCAAATCAAACTACGATCAAAGAAAAAGTACTGAAGAGAGGTTTGCCATGTGATATGATAAACAGATATCCTCCACTATTTATGGGAGTGACTCTTCAAAAATCATGAAAAAATGTACAGTATCATGTAATGTTGGTCGCTCTTTGCTTTGTCTGTGTATACAAAACCATAATTAAGAATGAAAAATCTTATTGTCAAGGAACAGAATGGAGAGCAACAAATAACTGAAAATAAAGTTACCACTTTAAATAACTTAATACCTATGTTGTGAATAAAAATGTGCATTATTTCTTAGTTCCATTTATGTTCTTCCAGTGAATGGAAGGCAGTGTATATGGTTCTCTCCTCCTTCCTATATGCTCATAACCATTTTTTCCAAGGAGGTCAGACTGACAGAATGTCTGGTCCAAGGTCATCCAGTGATTTTCATGACTCTATGGGGACTTGAACTTGGATTTCCCAAGTTTCAGGATAACACCATAACCACTGTACTTTCCTAGATCTCACATACTGTTCATTAGAAATATTGTGAGTTTTAAAGCATATTTCTTCCACCCCAATACAGTTTCCATGTACCATATTTCTTTTTGGTTGTGAAATCTAATAGACTTACTATTTCTTTACTGTTGTCCTTCACAATCCACACCCTGCTTCTAGAGATTCCAGGGCCTTGTGGTTTTCTTATACCAGGTAAGATCATAAAGCGCCCTGAATTAGATTTCTGTTTGAGACCTTCTGACCTTCCCTAAATGTTTCTTAAGCAAATTTTTCCCCAAGGACATGCATGTCATTGTTGTTTTTCCCTCCTTTGCTTGGATACTTTTGTGGGTCTTCCTATATTACATGCTATGGCATATGAATTTCTTGGCATCTGAAATATAATGTTCTTTTACCATTATAAATTATTTGCCCTATTGAACTAGAAATGTCACTATATGTTACAGTTTTATAGGTCTATTTAGGAACCACAAGTCTGATGCCATTCTTTCCTATCCTATCTCTTCATTATACTTGTAAGTAGGGATATGCACTAGCACCAAAATTAGGATTCTGAATTCAGATTTGGAATTGTAGTCCAATGGTTCCTTAATATGGAATTTCTGGACATCCAGAACTTCATTACAGTCAATATGAAGGCTATATAGTCATTTATTTCAGTGTGGACTGACAATGTCCCCTGCCTAAGAGAACAGCGTCCCACTGGGCATACTAGTTGGTGGGGAATAGATCAGTCCCACTGCCACCTTAGCCAGAACTACTCAAACACTCCTTTCAGCCCAGTATGATGAGAGATCAGTCTCTTTTGGCTTGCATATACTTCTCTGCTGTTGCCTTCCTCTGGGGTGGTATTTCTGGAAGACAGATTTGTCATACTTGTCAAGACGGTGTCCCAGAAAACTTGCTCTGTTCCTGCCAGGATGAGGGACTTGGATTCTAGAGTACAACTGCTGATACTGCTGTTTGAGGTGTGATGAACATTGGTAGTTTTTCCTGCTCTATGTGACCCCCCCCTCAGTACTAGCTGGACTGTCACATGCAATGGAAAGTGGGCTGGCATTGCCCCCTAGAATCATACAAAGGTGAATTTGAAAGGTGCCTACAAGGCCGTCAAGTCCAACCCCCCTGCTCAATGCAGGTATACAGTCAAAGCATATCTGCCAGGTGATTACGGTATCTAGGTTTTTCTTGAATGACTCCAGTATTGTAGTACTCACCAACTCCAGAGGTAACTAGTTCCACTGTTGTACTGCTCTAGCCAAAATCTGGCTTCCTTTAACTTGAGCCCATTGTTGCATGTCTTGCACCCTGGGATGATCGAGAACAGATCATCCCTATCCTCTGTATGACAGCCTTTCAAATAATTGAAAAGTGTTATCATATCACCCCTCAGTCTTCTTTTCTCAAAGTTAAACATACCCAGTTCTTTCAGCCTTTCCTCACAAGACTTGGTTTCCAGCCCCCTGATCATCCTTGTTGCCCTCCTCTGCACTTGTTCCAATTTGCTAGTGTGGTGTCCAGAACTGGCCTGTAGTTCCCAAGGTCCTCTTTTTTGCCCTTTTTGAAGATAGGGACAACATTGGCCGTCCTCCAATCCTCTGGCACCTCACCTGTTTCCCATGATTTCAAGAAAATAATGGGTAGCAGTTCTGAGAGTTTTTCAGCCTCTTCCTTCAGTACTCTCGGATGAAGTTCATCCGGCCCTGGAGATCTGAACTCATTCAAGGTGGTAAGGTATTCCTTGACTATTTATTTATCAAATTCCAGCTGCAGTGCTGTTTCCCCCCCCCCCCACTTGCAGTTCCAATTTGTTTGGAAGTTCATAGTTTGTCTTATGGGAAAAGACTGAACTAAAATAGGAATTGAGCACCTCTGCTTTTTCTTTGTCTTCTGTTATCATTTATCCATCTCCATTGCAGAGCTGTGCCACTATGTCTTTTGTTTGTCTTTTGCTACTCACATACCTGAGGAATGCTTTTTTATTGCTTTTAGTGAATCTAACTAACCTCAGCTCCTTCTCAGCTTTTGCCCTCCCAATGCCATTCCTGCATTTTCTTGCTATTTGTCTGTACTCTTCTTCCTATACATGTCTCTCCTTTTGCTTTCAGGTCCTCCCTGAGCTTTTTATGACACTTTGCTTTCGTTTCCTTTGAAATCAAGAATTCTAGAAGGACATGGTGGTCACTCTTGCTTAGAGTTCCCCTTACTGCCACTTCCCCCACCAAGTCATCTCTGTTGGTCAGAATTAAGTCAAGGATAGCAAATCCTCTCGTTTCTTTCTCCACTTTTTGTAAGAGAAAATTATCAGCCCACACAAGCCAGGAATATCTTGGAAGGGCCATACTTGGCAGAATTTGCCTCCCAACATACGTATATCTGGATAATTGAAATCTCCCATCATTACTACATTATGTCTCTTTGAAACAGTATCTCTTAGTATCTATTGCCCACTTGTTAAATTTGGGGTCCATCAGAGTTGCTAGGGCATACTGCTGCTTCTTTCACAAGGAGGCAAACCTATAGCAGAAAAAGTCTTGTAGTATACTGGCCAAGGCCACTATTTCAGGCCAGAAATAATGCTGTTCTCCCTCCATGGAATCCCACATCCACCTAGACTGGCCCCTCATTATGGCAAGCAAGCTCTGGAACATTGGGATCGGCTGGTTAAGAATGGATGAGTTTGCAGGGGAGGAGGGATGGAGGAGGACACCATGCTCACACAACATCTGTGCAAACACAGCAACAAATTCAACCGGACCTCTGGACAGAGGTTTGTGCCCATCTCTAAATCCAACCAATCTAAAAAGTTGGAACTAGTGAATTAGCAATAAGAATCAGGATGCACAGCAGACAACAGCTGGAACTAGAAGAGACTGTCTCCAGGGAAAATGTAGTTCCAAACCGTGATTCATATAACAAAGCTACTGAAGTCCCATCCTGAATTCAGCTACAAGTATTTGGCCAGCCACTAGGGAAACTCAGCTGCAGGATTTCGCCTTCTGGTCGAGAAGAAATAGCTTTCTCTTCAGGAAATAGCTTTCTCTTCAGGAAAACTCCTATTCCTCTTGGTTATCCTGAAGAATCCTTTCTCCTGTAGCCAAGCATTTCATCTGGGAACATCTATCTGAGGTCATGCCTTCTTTCCTGCAAGATTCATGTGGGGTGGAAGGGGGTCCATTCTCCTATGACCAAGCACTAAAGCCACCTTCATCTTAAAGTTCAGGCTCCCAGCTTTCTAAGGCTTCATGGCCCATAGATTCAACATCTGAAAGTTTGACATCTTCAATTCCTGAAGGTCCAGAGTCTGTGGAATCTGGTAGTTCATCACACATGTTAGGTTCCTCTGGCTTTTCTTCCAGAAGATATTTACCTGGCGTTAGAAGCATAATAGCATAAGCACCAGTAATCCCTCCTGTGAAAGGAAATTAATAGGCCACAAGTGAGACCTGTAGGTGACTTCAGACTATGCATATTCTGAGATGAGATGTTGCTTCATATATCTAGATTGCTGGTCTTGTAGGGCTTGAAAGGCACACAATGAAACATTGAATTCTGCTCCAAAATAAGTCAGTGAAGCTCTTTAAGCACTGATATAATACTTTACCATTACCTGGTATTGTTTAGTACAGACTACAGCAGCTAGGTTATTTCCTGAAAGCCGGTTTCACTTTTCAAGTAGTCTTGAAAGGCAGCGTCTCCTGTGACTATATTGTAGTGTCAGCCCTGGGTTTTTCCAAAGCAAGAATTTCTTCTCACCAAAAAGCTATAGTGAGCCTTGGGTTCATTTGCTTCTTTTACGCATGAGGGGAGGAGACTGAAACTTTCTCTTTCAGGTTTTTACTAAAGGTGTTTTCCATTTCATATGAACTTGAGGAACTGTGGTTCATTCCCACCAAAGTTAATTAAAACAGGCCAGGATATCATGTTATTAGTTAAAACAAACCAGGACATTACATCAGTGTCTAGAGTAAGAAATTGTTAACAATGGTATAGTCATCTATAAAGTATGCATCTATAGTAGTCCTACTTTTTCTGTCTCCTGTCTGTACCCAAATGTTTTTGCTTTAAATTGGGTTATTTGCTCCTTTTTTGCCTCACCCTTCTAAATGTGCACATGTTTGTATGCCTGTGTCTAATTGCACATATAGCTCATATTTATTCCTCAGTTGACTCTAAGGGGATCTTGGCTGTGGGAAAATTTCCAGGAAATGATGTCACAGGGAGGTTTTGTTTTCTTTCCCTGATACTGTTATTTTCCCTCCAATAATAGGACTCCAAGCATCTTCCTTCTTTTATGTTATTGCATAGGATGCATGTTTCTCTCTGTGTTGTGAGGAATTTAATCTGAGTCTACTTTTTATACAGATAAAATCCATAAAGGGTTACACAGAGTAGAAATCATATAATGAGGAAGAGGCTAGTTTTGTTTTGACATTTTTGTATTTGATACAGTATAAATCTCTTGGTTTTATACTTCTCACTAATAAAGATGAAATTGTAGCTCACTGATAATTCAGTTTTACTAGAGCAAATGAATCAATCTGGTATTGGGATCAAATATACTCAACACAAATACAAAACCATATAGATAAAATACTTGGTGACATTCATCAAGTATTATACAGTTTGTAAGGTATGTACAGTATATATGTGCACACATAGAAGTTATGTAAGTCGTATTTCATGTATTCAGAGCGTATTGTGTACATTATCTTCCTAATCCTTGCACCAGTTTTATAGCAAAGAACTGAGTTCCTGTTCTCCATATGGGAAGTTGAGGATGCTATAATGATGAATTGCTTGCATCTTCTGTATTTGTGAATAAGGAGAGACTAGAAACTTCAAGGATTGCTTGTTATTATTAGCCCAGTCAATGTTTTATGTATACAGTACGGTGCAGCATTTTCTTACTAGGTTTGTCGTCCGGCAGCTGAGACTTGTGCACTTATGTCTTGGTCTTCATATGAGAGCCACAGCCACCACATTCCTTTTATATTACCTGTCAACCTGTTGTGCCAGTGGAGCCTCAGAAGCTTGAATCTGAGGCAGGAATTGTTGGCACCTAACTGAAAGCACGTGTGATACAAATAATGACAGGATTTCATTTCTGACTACGAATTTGTTTTTATTTGAAGGTCCAGTGGATGTCAGTATTCTTGCCAAATGCAGTCCCTGCTTATCAAATCCATGCAAAAATGATGGCACCTGTAATAATGACCCTGTAGATTTCTACAGATGCTCCTGTCCATATGGTTTCAAGGTATGGAGAACTTTTTGTTTTATGTACATTATTGTAAGTAAGTAGGTTGTCCCACATAGTTTCATTCTGCCTAGTTCTGTGGCAGTGCACTTCATGGTCTGGAGTACAAAGATGCCTTTCTCCATTTTGTTATGTATACAACCTTTTGAGTTCCAGATGCCAGGGATTTAATTTGGCACCTCCTGCATGCATGCCAATCATTTGCTCTCCCCTACGTCATGCTCTATGGAAAAATGGATGGGTTGAATATATTAAAAATAGAGGAATATATAAAACTCTCCTGGTTTTAAAGGAAATCCAATTTGTCTTTCTTCTGCACAGTCTTACAATGTTGCTGTTTTATTCCTAGGGCCAAGACTGCGATATCCCAATTCACGCGTGCATCAGCAACCCTTGTAAACAAGGCGGAACTTGTCACTTAAAAGAAGGTGAAAAGGATGGATTTTGGTAGGTTTTTAAAATCTAAGAACACAAAACAGAAGCCCTGCTGAGTCTGAAAGGCTTGTTGAATTAGCAAAAACAAAGCAGAGCAGCAACACAGTAGTCTGTGTGTGCTGTTATACTTTGATCCCCAAAAGTAATGACAAGAGGTGGTGTGTATTGATAAGCACAAACCCACAGTGGTGCCTTTTCTAAAGCTGCTGTAGTATTCAGGAGAGCAAGTAGCATCAATGAGCTTAGTGTGCTTTGAAAGTTTTTCTTTTTAAAATATGTTGTTATTAGTCAAGGCATAATAGGGCAAGACATTATAGTGTTGACTCTATTATGCTAATTAATAGCTAGCTAGATCCCTGCTGAAAAGTTTCACAATTCAACTTTTATTCTTTGCATCATGTCAACAGACAGCCTGTAAATGATCAGATGTAAATCCCAGTGAAACAGAAAATTAATAATTCTTTGCCAAACCAGCATGCCACTGGATAAAGACGCTGTGAGCATTTTTAATGTAGAGATATTTAATCACACAGTAAGAGAGACTCACATGTACTTCATGAATTATGAAAGAGAGTTCTTCAATAAGTGGATCCAGTAATTTCAAATAAGAATGCCTATCCATTCCTTGTCAAAAGCATTCTTGGTTCCTGCTTTTCATAAAGAAATTATCTTCCTTTTTTGCATCTACATTTTAACCAAAGGTTAGATTGCTTTCTATTTGAAATTAATGTGATACATCTTAATAACATGACTAATTCATGTTTTAATCACAATTCAACGGACTAAAATGAATTAAAAGCACTCCAGAATGCTTTGTTCCAATGAGGATCAACACATAACACATTAATAAAAGTATATTGAGTATTCATGTTTGTTATAAATGCATATAGTCTCTAGTACACATAGTAATTAATAATTATGTGCCGTCAAGCCAATTCCCCTGCAAGTTTTTATAAGTATAAAGTACAGTATTTGCCGGCGTATTTTGTCCTGAAAAACATGCCTCCAAGTGGGGGGGGTGTGTGTGTTAATTTGTTTGTTTGTTTAACTTGTATGCTGCCCACACTACCCAAAGGTCTCTAGGAGGCTTACAATATTTAAAATACAATAAAAATTCAACATTTAAAATACAATTAAAATATATATAAAATTGCCATTGGACCCATACGCCAGGTGCACCCGGAGCGGGCAGCACGTAGCGCAAGGAGGAAAGAGGAGAGGTGAACGAGGAAGAGGAGGAGGAGGAGGAAGAGAAGCCAGTGGAGGCGGCGCCTCTTCTCCTGAGGAGGCAATGGGTGGCTCCGGCTCTCAGGCGCTGCATGGCCCATCAGGAAGCAGCATGGAGAGGCGAGCCCAGCCCGGGAAGCAGGCAGAGCTCGGTCCCCACCAGCTCAGTCACTTCTTCGCACAGTTGCACTCGCAGCAAGCAGCAGCAGCAGTGCTGCCTCCTTCTTCCCCGTGACCTACCACCATGTTGCCCGGGTGGAGAGAAGCTGGCAAGCAAACGGCACCTGCAACAAGCCAGCGCCGCCCCACTCGTCACCAGTGCAGCCACCGCGCTGGGCTCCCGAGGAGACTTCCAGAGGCCAGGCAAGCGAGCAGGCGCTGGCCTCTGCCTCGGGCCAGCTGGTAGCCCACTCCAGAAACTTGCTTTCCTTCTCCTCCCTCTTTGGCCCCTCCGGCGGGGTAAACGAATGCTAGATTTTGAGTGTAAATGTTGGGGTCCTCTTATATGCCGGCAAATACGGTATTCAGAAATTGTTTACCTGTCTTCTTCTCATGGCTATCTAGAACCATACAATTTGCCCAAGACTACACAGGTGGCAAGTCAAGTAACCTCTTCAGCCCCATACACTCAGGATAATGTCACTTAGCTCCTCTCCTAGGAGGCACAGTGGAGATTTCAACTCCAGGCTGGCCTCTAGGTGCAGAGGTAGGCACTTCATACTAAACTATGTCACATCTTCTAGTGCTCATGCACAAAAATAAATAATGCCATCTATGGCCCAGAGAAACTGCATGGTGGTCATGCAACTCTGGTTATTCATTATGTTGATTATTTCTGTCAGGCTTCTGGCCTGGGCTTCATATCAGAATACCTTCAGTCACGCTGATGGATTATATTTACAAGTTTACAGGTCTGAGGACATGTGACCCTGCTAATTCTTCTGGACTTCTCAGCAATTTAGTAATAGTGCAGTAGAACCAATTACCTTAAGAGATAGTGAGTGCTCTAATACTGGAGGCATTCAAGAGAAATTTAAACAACCACCTGGCAGATATCCAGGTATCCTGGATTTTGTATTCCTGCACTGAGCAGGGTGTTGGTCTCAATGGCCTTATAGGCCACTTCCAACTTCATTATTCTATGATTTGTTGGGAGTCACTTAATTTCATTGGCCATGTCAGACCTGGACGGCCTATTTCAGTAACTGATAATGGAGGATTACTGCTTACTTTCATGGAACTTGCACTACACTGTCTCACAGTGTTCTCTGTTTAAAAGTTCCACCCAAATTCTAAATCAGATCATGTGGAGATTTTGAGCGACATGTCATCAGTACGTGTCATTCCATTCTTCATTGGATTCCATGTGACTGTGAAAGTCTTAAATCAGTGACCTCAGTAATATGAAGACAATGAATACCAGTAAATTGACATTCAGTCCCTTCAGCATGGAGACACTATTATTGGGTGGGTTATTTTTCTGTGTTCTCCTTTCTGGTATAAGCACACTTGTAGTTGCCCTGAAGAATCAGGTTTACATTATGGGGGTGCTAATTAATACTTCTTTGTCATTGGATGCCAAGATAGTATCTGTAGCACCTAGCACTGTTCACTGCTTAAGACTGATTATTAAGAGCTGCAGTCTCTCCTCAGCAGAGGAGTTAATGTCGCAGTATGGTCTATGAGGAGCTATCCTTTAGTCTGCCTAAAAACACTTGCTAACTATGACAACTGGGAGCAAATCCAGGGAAAAATTCTTACTGGTTCTTATGCTACTTCATTGGTGCCAGTTAGTCTCTAAATACAATTTGAATTGCTGGTGCTTATCTATAAAACACTAAATGGCCTGGGACCTAGATATCTTAAGCACCATCTCTACATACATGAAGCTGTCTGAGAGCCACATTCTGCTACAGATTTTAAGCAGCTGATGATACATAAGAGTTATTCTCAGTTATGATGGATTGGAATGTCCTCCCAAATCGAGGAAGCCTGCTTAGTATCAAATCTGATGTCTTTCGGATACTTTTTATTTGCCCAGACCCAAATTGTCACCTAGCTAGGATAGCCCATTTGTTTTGGATCTTCAACTTCCAATGCACATACTCAAGCTCTTTCCTACACATAGTTTTTGCCCAGAAGTATAAAGGTGGAGCATGACTGAAAAGCAGAAATAGTTGTGGAGGGTGGGCAATTGCCATGCATCAGTGGAAATGTGTTAGGAGGTTATTTTTTCCTAGAGGCCTGAAATGTTCTGCTCCTGTTGAGAAGGAGGACTGAATGTCTGTTTTAAACAATCTTGAAAAGAAAAAGAAAAAAAACACAGAAGGTTCTTGTTTGACAAGTTACCATGTTTTTCTTATTTACAGGTGTACCTGTGCAGATGGATTTGAAGGTGAAAACTGTGAAGTGAATATTGATGATTGTGAAGATAATGATTGTGAAAATAATTCTACCTGTGTGGATGGAATTAACAACTATACTTGCCTGTGTCCACCTGAATACACAGGTAAGAGGGGGCATGTTCCAACACCTCTAACAATGATGCTAAGGTGTTAATGCCTTTGATTCACCTTTATTTTGATTTCATGTTCTAGTTCTATTGGCAAAATATTTTTGCAAATTTTCTAGGATTGTGTTCATTTAGATCTTCATTTAAATGTTGTCTCTGATATTTTTGAAAGTATTGCATGGTAGGAAAATCTGTATATTGCAGATGCAAAACAGTGAAACAAGAAGAGCTTCACTTCATTGAACACATGGTGTGTCAGCTGAAATTGTTTAGGATTTACTTCCCCTTAAAAGGGCACTAAGAAAAGAGCCATTCTGGCCCATTCTGTCCATTAGCTAAGTGCACTTCTACCGTTTTACTTTTACTTTCATATTCATGCAGCTTTTCTAAACCAAATTATGATGTCCTTCACAAACATGCACAAGTTTAAACACTGTTTTATAATTGAGGTATGTAAAAAGAATGCTTTATGAAAAGTGGAAATAAAAACCACATAAGCGGATCTGATGAATTGCAGCTGAGTCATGGCAGCTGAAGATGCTAGATGTAGTGGGATACCAGTTTGCTGTGCATTCTTTTTTTGTTTTCATATTTCCGAAGGCATGTTTTCCCATCACTCTTTTCCCACTACAACTTCTCTGTATACCCAACAAGCTCACAGCACACCAAACGTATATCCTTCTTCACTGAATGCAGAATGCCCTTCTGGTCATAACTGCAAAACTCTAGAGTGCCTCGGAACTGAAGCACCATAGCAAAAATTAGCATTAGAAGTTCCAGGATGGTTCTAGGAGCACTTTTGTTCTTTGATTTCTGTGTAAAGAAAGATTGAGACAAAAAACAATGTGTAAGCATGACATAAATGGATAGCATTGTCATATATTCTAGTTATGAGGGGAAAGGAACATTCTGGAGAAAAGCTCTCTAGTTTGTGTGAGATGTTAGGAGTTTTCCTTCCGCAACCACCACTTTACCCTTAGTTACATTGAATTACAATGCTCTTCAGCTTGGACATGGGCAAAATGCCTCCCTCTCATGGCATGATTATACAAAGAAAAAAATTGTTTTGAATCCAGTTTAGCATGTTTGAGATTGTTTTTAAAAATTCAGACTCCATGACACAGGGAAGTTTGGATTTCATTTGATTTTTTGCCCAGGATTTTGTTTTTAAATTGCAAAGTGAGATATTTTACCCAGCCACAAGAGCTTGGACATGGGCAAAATGCCTCCCTCTCATGGCATGATTATACAAAGAAAAAAATTGTTTTGAATCCAGTTTAGCATGTTTGAGATTGTTTTTAAAAATTCAGACTCCATGACACAGGGAAGTTTGGATTTCATTTGATTTTTTGCCCAGGATTTTGTTTTTAAATTGCAAAGTGAGATATTTTACCCAGCCACAAGAGGATCATTTAAACCAGTGGTTCTTAACCTTTTTGAAAGAAACGCCCCATTGAGCCATTGAGGAAGTTATCATCACCCCCCTCCCCGTGGTGATGATATCTTTCTTTCTTTCTTTCTTTCTTTCTTTCTTTCTTTCTTTCTTTCTTTCTTTCTTTCTTCATCGCCCCCCTCCCCGTGGTGATGATATTTATTTGTTTGTTTGTTTGTTTATTTATTTAAGACACTTAAATCCAATGACCCCTGAAAACAAAATTAAATTCCAAGAAAATGAAATGCCCCCCAAAAAGTAACATTTAATGATTTAGTTGCAAGTGAATTTTAAGACGCAAAAAGAAATATAAAAAGGGCATAAAAACAAATGCAGGAACTAAAAATTTCAAGACAAAAAGTCTGAAACTAAATTAAAATTGGAGGAAAATATATATTCATGCACACTGTAAAAAGGCTGCAGCCATCTTCACAGGTTTGGCTTGCTCCAGCGCCCCCTTCTGCTCCAGCTCCCCCACGCCGCCCCTTTTCGTTCTACCGCCCCCCTGAAAAATGAAATCGCCCCCTGGGGGGCATTATTGCCCACGTTAAGAACCACTGATTTAAACCACTTGTGATTATTTTGCATCATATGTGTATGCCTCTGTTGGTGTAAATTGTGTCTGTGAGGTTTGTCAGGTAATGAATGCTGGGATCATGGGTTTTGGCCTACAGGAAACCTTGCCATTCAATATGTTTTTTTCTGTTCTATCTCTTCTATCTGTGGTATTGATCTAGCACTGTTCCACTTTGAAATAAATAAAATAATAATAAAAAAATAACACTGGTGGTGGCAGGAGCAAGTGGCTGTGAGAGGCATGTGTCCTTTTGTGTCCGGCACTCTCTGCTCTCTCTCCCTACTTAATTCTTCCTGCTTGCAATCAAAGCCAGAGGAAATCAGCATAATAAGAGTATAGTTTTAATAAAAATCAGAAAAGAGATCCAGGACAGCAGTTGGGCATGGGAAAGCATTACAGTATTTCCTTTGCAAGACTGGAAAAATGCTGATTTTGTCAATTTCTCTGCTTAATTTGTCCTTGCCACTCACTGATGTCCCTTCCCTCTCACCAACCCCAGCTCTGTGTGTGTGTGTGTGTGTGTGTGTGTGTGTGTGTGTGTGTGTGTGAGAGAGAGAGAGAGAGAGGCTGCATGGACACCTAGCAGTCTGATTTTTTTCTACTGCTATCCCACTTTAATGAATTTATATATATACATACATTCCTTTGATGTTACCTGTGTCCGCTGCTATCTGTATCTGAGAGCAGAGCTGAAGCCAATAATCATTGGAACAGCTCCTGGCAGCCTCTTGGACTTGGCTACGAGCAGCTTGAAGAACTTGCAAGTTGTACTCACTAGGACAGGCTTTGTATGCTGCTATGGCTCTCCTCTTATCCTTGATGGCTGGCATCAACTCCTCCGAATGGGTTTCGAAGTAGTCTGCCGTCTTTTTGGTCTTTTTGCCAAAGATGGACAAGGCAGTGTTATACACAGTGTTCTTGAAATGTTCCCATCATTCGGGTGCATTTGCATCAGCCAGGCCTGGAAGGGCTTCCTTGATACTTTATTTTTGTCTGTCTCATGATGAATCATTTACTGCTAAAACAAAATGAAACTACAGACACAGACACCATTACAAATAAGGGTCCTTACTTCAGAATGAGACTTCATACAGCAAACAAATATGGCTGTTTCACTGTTTAATGAAACAAGTCTTTGGGGGTTCCCTCACATCACAATAACAGCCAAACTTGCTGTATCTGTGGGTGTCTGTACTACATTTGGAAACTGACAATTTAAGGAAATCTTTAAATCATTATACTCTGAAGCAACGGAAACTGCTTAAATAGCAAAAGTAGCTTATGGTTAATTCACACAACCCACATTTATGTTGCAGCTGGCAATTCAAGTGAGTTCTTACTTAATCTGGCTTTGTAGTGACTTGATCATCCCTTATTTTAAAATCAGTTGCTTAAAAACAAATCTTAGTCATTGACAACCATGGATAGACTTCTTGCTTTTACAGATTTCAGAGACATGGATAATCTGATTAGAGTATTTGATTGAATTGGAACACTCAAATTTGCTGGTCACAGTGATTTAAAACTGGATTTTGTTTTTCTTTTGTTTTCCTGGCTTTTCCTTTATAGGAAAAACCAGGAAAACAAAAGATGGCTCTATACATCTGGAAAATCTTTGTGGCAGAAGGAATGGCAAGAGAAAGAAAGTAATTCAGTACTCTGTCCCTGACAGGAGCATCCATAGTTCACTGTTGTTTTAGTACCTAAGCTCCTTCTTACCATAAGTGCATGTTAAGGAGTTTAGTTTGGGCAGAAGGCATTTCTAACTAAGATCTTCTCCTTTATCCTGTCAGTGCTCCTTGTCCTCTCCTTGAAATTATCCTTTCAGTAGTGGTGGTAAATGCTGTTGTACTCCTGAAATACAATGAATGCAGTGTCCTTATGCAATATCCACACTAATCCCAATGCAAGCTGATGTTTGGGTTTCCTCCACTGGTGGTTAATTATTAAAATGCTCTTTTAATATGGAAATTCTTCCTTCCAATTCAAAGATGGTGCCTAATAGTAATTAAATCATTTTATTTACTTTTAAAATATCTTCATATTGCTTTTATTAAAAACTAAGCCAAAAAAGTGTAATAATAATAGTAGTAAAAGGTGTAATAATAATAGCCATCAAACTGATTCTGACTGCTGGCAACCCTTTTTAGCATTTTCTAGTCAGAGATTACTCAGAAGTTTACCATTATAATTCCCATCTTCTGGGGGCAACCTAGGACTGCGCATCTTATCCAAGGTTACAGAGGCAGGCTCTTCAGGTTCACTGAGCTATCCAATCAGCCAAAAGGGTTTATAAAAATTAAAAACAATGAATAAAAAGCAAAACAACAGTAACAGTAATAGTGGCCTAAAACATTGGTCAGGATCCTATTCGTTAGTTGTGTCAGATTAGTGTAGTGGTAAATCAAGGTGATAAATTGACACTAGTTAATAAGTCATTGCTTATACTCTTCATCATGCACCAGTAGCTTAACTTACTGCATGTTTAGGAATACAGGCAGTGATAACCTAGCAGCGCTTCCCCGGTGCAGTTTAGAGCATTGGACTTACTCCAGTGTAACTAAGCAACAAGATTTTGATAATCAACTATCAAAATGTCTGATATCTGAGTAAAATCTGGTCAAACAATTATCAGAAGGGCAGATGGAAGAATTAAATGTGTAAATCACAACTCAAGAAATCTTTGACACTATAAAGAAATCATAAACAAAATAAAGCACTAGGGTTGGATGGGTTTTCTTATGAGATTTATAAATTATTCAAAGCTATCCTAGCACCAAATCCGCTGTGCTATTTAATGGAATTTTATGAATGTAAAATTGTTTATGAATGTAAAATAGTTGAAAGCATGTCAAAAGGCAGAGAGGGTAGAGTTGTGTCAGCCCATCTGTCTCACTAACCAAAACATCAAGTCACTTCTGTTTTGGTAACCCATCTAAATAAAACCATAGGAAATTACATAAACCTAGACTAGATTAGTTTTATCCT